TGAAGAGAGACAGGATTAACATTAAAAATACCATTATTTCAGCTTCTAGAAGTTCTCAGAAAAAATATGTGTAATATGGCAGAAAATATGTAATAATGGAGGTCTTTCTTAGGAAGTTGAAATTTAAGACTGAAGGATGAGAAATAAGTAACTGAAATCTAGGATGAGGCCACTCTTACAAAAAGAACCTGGCCGGCTGTGGTGGCTCATGCCTGAAATCCCAGCACTTTGGGAGGCTGAGGTGGGTGGATCACTTGAGGTCAGGAGTTCGAGGCCAGCCTGGCCAACATGGCGAAACCCGGTCTCTACTGAAAATACAAAATTAGCTGGGCGTGGTAGCACACATCTGTAATCCCAGCTATTCGGGAGGCTGAGGTAGGAGAGTCAATTGAACCCGGAAGGTGGAGGCTGCAGTGAGCCGAGATCACACCACTACACTCCAGCCTGGGTGACAGGACCAGGCTCTGTCTCAAGAACAAAAAAAAAAAAAATCTGAGACCAGGATGAACTTGACATTTTGGGGGCACAGAAAGAGCGAGGTGGTTGGAAAATAGTAAGGAGTGGAGGGACGTGAGGAAGAAGAGGCAGCAAGGGCCGGATCACGTAGAGCTGCTTAGGTTTAATAAGGAACTCGCTTCTCTGTTTGCAGTGGGTCACTGGGGTTTATGCTTTAGGATGGTGATGTAGGGGCTCTATCAGATGCGGGGGCTGGGTTGAGGGGCACTGCAGCAGTAAGATGAGGTTGCTTGGATTATGGTTGTGGCATCAGAGATGGAGAGATGCGGCTGGGCTCTCAGAATGGGGCTTATAGTTGGAGTCAACAGGATTTTTTAAAAAAATGGGTTTGATGGCAGAAGGCAGAACAGAAGCAAAGCTGAATGAAGGATCATTCCTAAGTTTTCAGTCTGAGCAGCTGGGTGGGTGGTGGTGCCATTTTCTGAGGGGAGAAAGACTTGGAGTTGAGAAGACAGGATGGAGGAAGGAGCTTGCTGAGTCTGAGATACCAAAAAATCATCCAAATGAAAATGCTGACTGCTCAGTTGCATCAAAACAGAGGAGCTTGGTGAAACACTGAGGGCTCAACTATATCTGGGTGTCATCAAAGAATGGATGGCATTTCCAACCCTAGGACTGGCTGAGGACACTCAGAAAGTACATTGGTGTAAGTAGTGAAGGGACAAGATGTGGGTACTGAATCCCATGCTAATCCCATGCTAGCATGGTACTTCCATGCTAGTCCTGTCTGGCACAGCAAGATGAAAGTAAGTCAGGGGTGTCTCTGAGGGCAAGTGATAGTCATTTTTTAAGGAGAGAGGGCCCACCAGGTGACATGGTCTGAAGAGGCTGCGAAAGAAGAGGTCAGGCACTGGTCTTGGGACCCAGGCAAGATGTCCTTAATCAGTGCAGATGGGTCGGTGGAGGGGCTCCAAGCTTGACAGAGTGAGGCTGGAAAGGGGGGTGAGAACTGGAAAGACCAGAAGACAACTCCTTTAAGGCCTTTTCTGTAAGGAAGAGCAGAGAAATAGGGAGAAACAAGAGGGCAACAGGGAATCAAAGAACTTTAATACTGTTTATGGGATGAGTGATTCTAAGGCATGTTTGTACATCGATAAGGGTAAATGGTTTGGGGATGGAGAAATAGATACTTGAAATTGCAGAAGCAAAGTCTTTGAGAGGAAAGGAGAAGTTGCTTCAAGAATACGAATGGAGGGGTTGGCCTTCCATAGGAAGAACAGATTATCCATTGTACCAGGAGTAAGAACACACCCACACATCACTGGGTATGGACAGCGAAAGCAGTTGGATTATTATGGGATTCTGGGCTTCCACAGGCACAATTGCCTACCCTGTTCCTCTCCCATGGAACAATGAGTGTGTGCTCTGTGCCAGGAATTCTTCTAGGTGCAAATATTCAGGTCCTATGGTCCCAGCAAATAACACACATCCATCCATATCTGCACCTCTAGATGCAATGCGCAAATGTCTTAGGAGGTAAGTCCAGAATTTCAGGAAAGACTGAAGAACAGGAAGCACCTAGATTCCCAGAGAACCACGGGCTGCCTGACTGATCTGGCTGGTGCCTGGACTTCCACGTAGGGACACTGAGGGCTGGAGGTGGAGAGATGGCACCTACTTCACCAGTCTCCAGCCTCCCACTGGGTCTCACAGGTGCAGCTTAGGGATAGCATGCCGGCGCTGGCAGGGAGCTTCATTGAGATTTTCAGCTTCATTGAGACATAATTTGTTGTTGCAGGCCAGAAGGCACAGTAGGCGACATTCCCAGTGTACCCAAGGGTCCAGTGGTTTGGGGCAATGAAGATGGGGTATCTCCCCAGGTGAGGCCAGGCTCTGCTGCTTCTAAGCTACCATCCTCTACCTGATTCCCCATGCCTTTTTCTTGTTAGGCGCCGCAGGGGGCGGGGCGGGGGGTAGAGTTAGTTTAGAGAGAGAGAGTTTAGAGAGAGAGAGAGAGAGTAAATTCCAGTTTCTCCTTTTTAGTCTCTTCTGCCCTTTGCTCTGCTTGTTCCTCTGCGCCTTTTCTCTTCTCGCAGCTGCAAGAGTGGAAAACTCATGCTCAGTTCTAGGCAAACATTAACCCCGGGCGATGTTTCCAAGCGGGAGACAAACTAGAGAGTGAGAAGCAAGATGCCAGGGCACCGAGGGCAAAAGGGGGCTCGGGCATGCGCGGGGCTGGCCTGCGGGGCGCCGCCGCCTCCCTCTGCTGCGCGGCCTGCTTGGGGAGCCTGGTGGGGGCGGCAAAAGGAGAGACCCCGCGCCCGGGCCTCCCACCAGTGACCACCTCCCCTGCAGCTTGGGTTGATCCTCCAGACAGCATGCGATGGGGGGAAGGGAAATCCTCTGACTGGGCGGGGGACCTAGTGGCTGCACTGAAACGTTGAACACCTGTGGAGGAGGCGCGGGAGGTCCAGCCGCCCAGGATTCGCAGTTTCCCCCTTCCCCGTCGCCCGGGCAGGTTGCGGTTCTGGGCCTGGATGAGCGCGGAGGGGATCGGGCAGGGGCTGAGCGCGGTTCCCCAGGCCTGGCAAGTGGCCGTGTGGCACAACCAACCCGGGACCCAGGGCTGCGGCTACTGCCCCAGGTGGGAAATTTAACTCTAACATTTTCGCACCACCCGGACGGGACTGGACGCGGAAAGCGGGAAAGAACCGTCCCTGTTTGCAGTGGCCGCCGGGCGGGGCAGCGACGGGAGGGGTTCTACCACAGTGGTGTTAGGCCGGCTCGGTGGCTCACACCTGTAATCCCAGCACTTTCGGAGGCCAGGACGGGAGGATCGCTTGAACTCGGGAGGCAGAGGTTGCAGTGAGATGAGATCGCGCCACTGCACTCCAGCCTGGGCCACAGAGCTGTCTCGAAAAAAACCTCAAAACCAAAAAACAGTGGTGTTAGAGGGATGACATTACTGGTGATTAAAGTTTTGTTCTGAACTTTCCCTAACCTTGCAGCGGCAGCCGCGCCCTGAAAACGCCTGTGATCTGGAGTGGAGGGTCCAGGCATAGTGTGGTGAGTGACCCTAGGCAGGTCACTAGCTCCTTCTGAGCCTTCATTGAAACCTCTCTTACACGGGGATGTTACCCTCAGTTCTCCCTGTCCTTCAGGACATTAGTTCATGAATTAGATGATGCAATATCAATCATCCTTTTATTAGACAGAAACAATAAGTTTGAGGAAGAGGACGTCTATCTACCTCACAAGGGGTTTAATTTTCAGCTTCATTGAGATATAATTTATTGAATGGTGTTTAACATGCGCGCCTTTTCCAACAGCGCTCCACGCCTATTCCCAGCACCAGAAGCGGACAACCGCTTTACTGAGAAACAGAGACAGGTACTTTCTGAGGCACCTCAGTCCAGTTCCACTGGGTTTACTACAACTAAAAATGACTGTTTCTGTTTACTAGGTATTAGGCAATGTGTTTTAAGGAAATGAATTGTCTCTAATCCTCACAACTATTCAGCAAGCTAGGTGTCACCCGCATTTTGCAAATCATGGCGCCCTGCTCACCATATCTGGAATCTTGCCTCACCCCGGAGGATTCTAATTTTCACTTTAGAGAGCTGAGCAAGATGAATGATCGCCCAGCGCTAACCCCGGGAAATCCCCGGGACTGAAAATCGCAGGTAACTCACCAGAGTTTTCCAATTTTAGGCCTAGGAGATTATGCGAAACTGTCCTTCAAGTAAACGCTGTTCTCTGGGACCTCTTTGGGTTCTACAGTTGGAGAAGGGGAATAAGCCCCAGGCCGATGGGGGATGGGTGGGTGCAATTTCCTAAATAGAGGAAAGCCACTTTCATTCAAAGGGCTGTGGAACTCTGGCTAGAGGTGGGTTTCTTTGCAGTTAATCATCTGCAAGGCCCTTTGGATTTGTTTCCACAAATCCAGAACTCACACTTAGGGTCACAAAATCCGGGGCATTTATTTGCCGAGCTCCATGGATGTTATCCCTGTGGATGCACCCCGCCCCTGCCCCTTCTCCCTAGGAGCAGAACGAAACCCATTCCAGGGCTTTTGCAGGAAGTCTTCAGGCCCTTGCGTCCGGCCCCTTTCGACATCAAAGCCCCCCCTGAGAGCAAAGGACTTTGAAAGATAGGAAAACCTCAGGCTCCTTATCGCGTCTCTGCTCCCTCCCGACCTAGTCGTAAATTCCGAGCCGCAGCGGCCGCCCTCTCCTCCGCTCTTCTCGACCCAAGGTCTCAAAAGACAAACGTGTCACTTCCCGCCCCGCCCCTGGATTCTGGTCCTGAACGAATGTAGTGAGGACCTAGAGGCGCAGGGTCCAGGACTTGTTAGAGGGGCGGGCGCCTTGGGTGCCCCTGCGCCGCCAGGACGCTACTGCCTGGGGACCCTCCTTCACCCTCCCGCAGCCTTCTTTGGGGCGGGGCGGAGCGGGGTGCCGGGCTCGGCCTACGCGCCCTCTCGAGTGCGTGGTGCGGAGCAGGCGCGGTGATGCGCTCCCGCCTGTGTCTGTGCTTCTCCGCAGGCCAGGAGGGCATCCTACGCTGCCACCCGGACCTGGCGGGCCGCGACCTGCAGCAGGGCACGCTCACGGCCGAGTCGCAGCGGGAGCACAGCGGCGCGGGCCTCACGAGCCTGGGCCCGGACGAGCAGCTCAGGCTGGCGGAGCTGAATGCGCAGTACCGCGCGCGCTTCGGCTTCCCCTTCATCCTCGCCGCGCGTCTCAGCGACCGGGCTGCGGTGCCACGCGAGCTGGCGCGCCGGCTGCTCTGCCCGCCCGCGCAGGAGCTACGCACCGCTCTGGGCGAGGTAAAGAAGATCAGCGGCCTGCGCCTCGCAGACCTCCTCTGCGCCGACCCCGCCAAGCTGTAGGAGCCGCGCGGGCCTAGGACCCGGGACACAGCACGGGACGCGCTGGGGCCACTGCCCAGAGCTATGTGTCCTGGGCGGGAGGCGGACTCCGGCCTGGAACAGCGTCCACACACGTGCACAAAGGAAGTAGGGAATTGAGGCAATCATACGAGTAATGAGACCTTTTGTCCGCCCACCCGCACGCGCACGCGTTGCCAAAATATCCATATTGTTTAGTGCTTTGCCCTGGATTTATCCAGCTCACTGCTTCAATTCTTCACTCCCTTTGCGGCCTGCCGACACCACCCCCCCAACATTTGTGTATTCCAAAGTGTTTATCCAGTTCTCCCCACCTTCTCCTGCTAAGCCCGAACTGCAAAGCAAAACGGAAGGAAAAGGAATCCTTTTATGCCACAGCGGTTTGTCTGTTTGTTTTTTTTTTTTTCTTTTCCCACCTCATTTGCTGCACCCGAACTTTACATGTGAGCAGAAGCGGCTTTCTCTCTCTTGAGCACTAGGGGAGCGAACCAGGAGCAAGGAAAGCCAAACGACGGCCTGGGTCCGGCCCGGGGCGCCGGGGAAACCGCGGCAGGGAGGCAGTGGGCCGGGGAGAGCCCTCCGAAGGGCTGGCGTTGGGAAGGTGCCCCGTGGGGACGGGTGGAATAGCTGCAGTCATCGCTCCTAAATGGCGGGGGGCGTCCAAGCTGGACCGGCTTGAAGATTTCTCCCGGAGGTCGGCTCGTGGGGGTTGGCTTCACTGTCCCGGGAAGCCCATCAGTTATTAAAATAATAACATTCATTGAGCAGCGCTGGGTATTTGGACCCCAGAATGAAGCGAGATTCCAGTGTCGATTAAACGGAGAGAAATGCCCGTAGAAATCTTTGCTCGTTAGCCTTGGAGCTTCAGAGCCCGGTTAGGCTGGGCAGCTTCCTGGACCAGCAGCCAGACTGGCCACTGGGGGAAAGTGCATCCTGCGGAGGAGCCCACCACATTCTACCAATCCCGACTGCCCTCTCTCCCTTGCACGCTCACATACACACACTGAAGGTGTAAAGAGCCCCAACAAACACTATTTAGGCTTCTATTGGCAGAGAAGAAACGAAATATCCATGGTCTCTCCAACATAGACAAGGTAAGAGGCTAAGGCCAAGGTGGCCCTTTTGAAGGCAAGAGCTTCCATTAGTCACCAACCGTGCCCAGGGGTAGCAGCAGCAGTAGGGAAACCTTTCCCTGAAGAGCTGCGTGGCTGCACCCTTGGTTCTGGGGCTGATACTCTATAGAAATAAATCACTCCTGGAGCACTAGGAATTTTAGGCAAGGGAGCCTTTTTGCCGTTCCCATCTCACAGGTGTTTCCTGCTGTAGTAAGGCTGAAGGAAAAAAGGTGGTAGTGAGGCAGGTGCCAGGAAAGCAGGCTGTGCTACCAGTGTCCCTGGCATTGTGTCCAGACAGCTTCTCTGGGTGTAGGAGCGCTGGGTGCACACCATGAAGACAGTTCCATGGCTCACTCCTGTTCTTTGGGACCCCTCAGCAATGGTGGGGTGCTGGGCCCGGCCCAGACACCAGCCTCTCTCTAGCCAGGGTAACCTGGGGGATTTCCTGACACACACAATAACTTGCTGCTTGTTGAAGAGGATTTTCTGATCCAGGATCCAAATACCACAGGCTAGGCCTAAGACTCAGAATAATCCACAGTAGTCAGGGCACCCTGTCCCAACCATGAGAGTAAACCCCACGCTTAGATAAACCAGGCTTTGAGCCAGGCGCGGTGGCTCACGCCTGTAATCTCAGCACTTTGGGAGGCCGAGGCAGGAGGATCACGAGGTCAGGAGATCGAGACCAGCCTGTCCAATATGGTGAAATCCCGTCTCTACAAAAAAAAAGAAAAGAAAAGATAAACAAGGTCCCTAATGCAGAGTCTGTGCTCTTTACGTAAAGGAGCTCACATGAGATGCACCGAGCTCACCAGAGCTGAGTTCCCGCAGTTTAGCATGAGTGTAGAAGAGCTCAGAACCTCCCAGACACGACTCCGGTGTCTCCAATTACACAGTTACATTTCAACAGTTCAAAGCTGGTCCGGAAAATGGTTTATTCCTGCGGGAAGGGGTGCAGGTGGAGGCAGACGCTGAGTCTGTCCCTTTAGAAGGAGCTGGAGCTAAGGGGACAGAGAGCTGGCTGCGGCGCCTCTTCCGAAACACCTGAGCACAAGCAGCCGCGAGGGTGAGCACAGGACGCGGGGCGTGAACGCCGGGCTGGGAAGATCCCCGACCAAAGCTGCGCACGGCTCTGACTCTATCCCCTTCCGGAGGAGCTCTGCACAGAAGCCATTGCTCGCGCGAGCGAGTCACCTGTGGCGGCCGAAGTCGGGCAGGGCAGTTCTCTTTTTGCTCAAACAGCGGCATGCCCTGGGTTTCCGTCGGCCTTGGCCTGGCAGAGCGGCTTTCCGTTTTCTGGCCTCTAGCGAGCCAGAGGCGGGAGAGGAGCCCCGGCCGCGTGGACTCCAGCGCGCGCGGCAATCACCGCGCGCTGACCTTAGCCCCGGCTCCAGGGAAGGGACAGCCCGGGGAGAGCCTAGCGAGCGTCAGCGGGGTACAGAAGTGGTTAGGGGAGATTTCAGGGTGAACAACTAATATTTTACTAACGAATTCGTTAAAACACACACACAAAACAAAACCAATCATAGTGGCAAGGCCAAGAAGAGTTGAAAGGCAAGGAGCTGATTTCAACATGTGTAACCCGACGACTCTCCGGGCACAGACCCTTACTTGGTGGAGGGCGGCTTTGCAGATTTTCACTTCCCTTGGAAATGTCCAAGCTCCTTAAGGCCAACGCTTCCAGTAAAGGGACGGGAGAGCGCAGCTCCGGGTAAGAACTCAAGGAACCGACCCGGGCTTGCCACTCACCTGTGTAACTTAAAGGGGATACGGAATAAAGCCTCTTCTTCATTAATCCCGAAAGGTAGGCATTTTGGTCTGTGTGTCCAAAAGATGTCTACAGACACTAAAATTGGAAGGAAGGAAAAGGAAAAGGGCAACATAAATTCTATACATGATCTTTACCCATTTTAAATGTGACACATTTCTAGAGATTGGCCACAGGATATCAGTTTTGACTCAAAAATAGAGTCATATAATAAAATAGAGTCTTCTAACAAAGTATTTAATGTGAGACAAAAGTAGATGGATACGATCTTTGTCAACTGGAACAAAAATTTGGGATGGAATTTATGGAAAATTCATGCAATAAAAGAATAAACTACAGTTACGGGGTGCCTGTGAAAGACGTAGGGCATGGAACATGGTCAGAATTGTAGCAATAGCAGAACCTGATTGTTCTGGTACTATTTGGTATAGGGGGTGGGAGCGGGAAGATGGAATTCTCTAAATCGTGCTAGTTTTGTGTTGGGGGTGCAATGTTTCCGGGGTGGCACCAGCAGCTGTAGTAATAATAAACATCTATATAAACTAAAAAAACAAAACAAAACAAACAAACAAACAAAAAACATCTATATAGATTGCTATGGGTTGCAAAGAGTGCACATACTGTAGCTCATTTACTTCAGGAAACTTGAACAGCTGGCCGTGCAGCTAGGGGGAAATCACCTAACCTCTCTGGGCCTTGGGTCACCTTTGTAAAATGGAAAGGTTACACAGACTTTAAGACCCCTGGCTCCCCTCCAGGGAATGCCAGTGGGCCCACTAGCTCTACTTAAACTCCTTCCCTTAGCCACATAAAACTTACCCTGTAGGACTTCCTAGGAACATATTTTCATGTGGTAAACAAAGGTCATTCCAGGCACGAGACAATGGTGAGTGAACAAATGTTCATTGAAAGCCACGTGGTGACATTTGGCTGGTGCTGCCAGGAGAGCCTGGGGTTCCAGCATCAAGAGGGTTCCTTTCGGGTGGAAGACCTGGTTCCCAGTAGGGACACAAATCTTTGAGTCCACCAAGTCCCTCCCTGTTAATAGATTTTTTTTTTTTTTTTTTTTTTTTTTTTTTTTTTTTTTTTTTTTTTTTTTTTTTTTTTTTTTTTTTTTTTTTTTTTTTTTTTTTTTTTTTTTTAGACGGAGTTTCACTCATGTTACCCAGGCTGGAGTGCAATGGCGCGATCTCAGCTCACCGCAACCTCCGCCTCCTGGGTTTAGGCAATTCTCCTGCCTCAGCCTCCTGAGTAGCTGGGATTACAGGCACGCACCACCATGCCCAGCTAATTTTTTGTACTTTTAGTAGAGACGGGGTTTCACCATGTTGACCAGGATGGTCTCGATCTCTTGACCTCGTGATCCACCCGCCTCGGCCTCCCAAAGTGCTGGGATTACAGGCTTGAGCCACCGCGCCCGGCCTTTTTTTTTTAAGATTCAGTCTTGCTCTTGTCCACCAGGCTGGAGTGCAATGGAGGCATCTCAACTCACTACAACCTACGCCTCCAGGTTCAAGTGATTCTCCTGCCTCAGTCTCCCAAGTAGCTGGGATTACAGGCATGTGCCACCACGCCCAGCTAATTTTTTGTATTTTTAGTAGAGACAGGGTTTCACCACGTTGGCCAGGCTGGTCTGGAACTCCTGACCTCAGGTGGTCTGCTCTCCTTGGCCTCCCAAAGTGCTGGGATTACAGGTGTGAGCCACTGCGCCCAGCCCCTCTTTTGGATTTAAATTGTCCTCTATACTCACCTACCACATAGAATGTGTCATACAATGCCCAAACAGTGTTCTCAGGCCTTAGTTTCAGAAGAAAAGAAGAAAATGGGTAACAACTATTTATTTGCATAACTTTTGCCCAATGTACCAAACCAGATTTCTGTATACAAATATTACCCTGTCTCCTGAGGCTATTTTCCTTGATCTGTAATGATATATTTTGGATAGAGAAAAATAAAAAAAAAAATAAATTAAAAAAAAAAAAAAGGATGTTCCCTGCCTTGGATCAGAAAGCTTGGTGGTCTCAGGGAGTAAAATGGCTGACTTTTCTTATCCCCTTCTCCTGCAGCCTGATCCCCTGAGTTGAGTCATAACACCTTAGCCCACAATGACCTCCCATGCATTCAGGAACCTTTCCCCAGGCAAAGAGGGCCAGGCACCCAGTTTGCTTGGGAAGAAAATACGCTTCACTCCACTGGGCCAGGACACATCTGCTGCTGTGAATGAAGCCTGGGCAGCTGTGGGCAGCTGCGGCCCCTTCCTGCTGTTCAGGATGGACACGTTGGGATCCATTGTGGCCTGATGGGGCTGGACAGGTGGCGGACTCTAGGGAGGCCCTACAAAAAGGACACTGTCATTGATTTCCTTCCCAGAGATGTTAGCTGAGTGGTCTTGGCAGGGCAGGGCAGGGTTGTTGAGGTCAAACCAACCATTATTGAGCCTTTCTTTGTGTGAGTGGATAGCTGATTGAGTGCAATGGCTGAAAGACTCCCTAAA